GGGGGTGCGTGCCTGGTTAAAGGTACCAAAAGACGCATTTGCTCGAACAGAAATTAATAGCAGGCTTCAAAAGGTCAAAAATAGAATTTTTGACAAAAACTAAGTTCCATTTAAAATGGATTCTTTAGCAATTCCTTTAGCGATATTTACAAGTACTTGAGTTTCTTCTACTTTAAAATACATTTTTAAAGATGTTTTATAACACGAGGTATATTGCATAGTCTCAAAAACAGTGTAAGAAAATTGGTTTTCCGAGTAAACATTGCGGATGGTTTCTCTTGTCCATTCAAAAAGTCGACCCAATCACATTGCATGTAGGTTTTTCTCTTCTCTCTCTGTGTCTTTTTGGAGAGCAAATTGTATCGCATATTTTTTCCCTGCGCAAACCTAGATCTAATTTCTTGAAAATTCTTGCTCAATGTGGCTGCGAATTTGTTTTACAGACGTAATATAAACATTTTGAAGCTGTTCTTTTATCTTAGCTGCTTTTTAAAGTTGGTTTGTGAGTAGCGAATGTGTTGTCAGGTCGTCTCAAAGCGTAGATCTATCTACTGGAAGCAGAAACAAAGGGGAAACTTTAAAGCCGTTTTTCTCAAAACGTAGTTTCCGTACCATGCCTTATAAAATCCCCCATATCTCAAAAACTACTGAAGATATCTTAAAAATACAAAACAGGCATATTGTTCTGAAATGATTCCTTTACATAAAAATGGGTAAACATGGGATTCTTCAAAATGCGTCATTTGGTACCTTTCACGAGGCATACACAAATTTACTAATATCCTGTCTTGTTGTGCGTATGCGAGAGTGCACCTAACCTTTGTAACATCTACTGCCATTGTAAACGACCAAGACAAATTTCTCCCTGCCAGATGAATAAAGATTGTCATTGTAATTGTCATTGTCATTTCATTTATCATTATGGTCATTATAATTGTCGTTTCATTTATCATTATTGTCATTATCATTGTCGTTTCATTTATCATTATTGCCCTTGACATTGCCATTCTCATGTCACTGTTTTGTCACTGTCACCCTCTCCGTCATTGTCACTCACCTGCTACTTTCACTCTATTGTAACTATTACTGTCACTGTAACTGCCACTGTCACTGCCACCTTCATGACGCTATCACTGCCACTTCCACTGCCACTCTATTGTCACCTGTCACCCCCACTGCTTCTTCTTCTTCTTCTTCTTCTTCTTCTCGATCGCATCACATTTGAAGTCCGGTATCTGTCATAAATTGGGCCGTCCTGCTCAGTTCATCTGGCGGCCCGTATACCCCCACTGCCTTCCTCATGCCACTGCCACTGCCACTTCTATTGTAATTGCCACCCTCATTGGCACTGCCATCCTCATGCCACTGCAACTGTCACCTCTATTGTAACTCCCAATCTCACTGCCACTTCCACCAGACCTGTCCAGCGTGCTGTGCCAGCAGTACCAGGTGAGCGTGGACAACGGTCGTGCCGTGACCTACTTACTGGACGCTGATAACATGGTCACCTCACCTACCAGGGACATCCTCACACTCCAGGTGTGTGTGTGTGTGTGTGTGTGTTTGTGTGTGGTGGGTGTGTGGGGGGGTGTGGGGGTGTGGGGTGT